AAATGTGATACATGTCAGTCCACAATAAAGTATAGAGCAGAATTTCTAGCCCAGGTGATGGGGAAGTGCCCTGTGGGATTTATAGATATGTGGAGGCGTTGATGTCCCACCCTACCCTGCCAGCCTTTTAGCAATCAGGCAAGGCTCTGGGATTATTTCCCTTCCAACCTTGAATAAACCATTTCTTCAAGGGTCCTCAGAGGGCAGTCTACATAGAGAAGTGGAGCACAACATTAATCAAGTTAGGAGTCCCTGGCACAGAGAACATAATAAATACCTATATAACTACTTGTACTCTAAGAAATAAAACCAGAATAAATTACATACAATCCCAACTGAATTCTGCCAAGAACTAACTTTCATCCTGAATTTTGTTCTTAGCATTTCTATGGCAGCATTTTTCACATTTTAAAACTTTATATGTTCTCAAGGTACTTGCTTCCTTCTTTAGCACCGTTTGATAAAAGATCTTTCATACATTTATAGTAGATAAAAATAAACCAGATTACGAATCCTTTTAAAATCTTAACCTATATACAAACTTTTTGGTTGAAATTGTATAGGATAAGTTAAATTGCATCCTCTTAACCAGTATGAGTGTATTTCTGTAAGAATAGTTATGTTGAAAGTAAGTTTTAAAAAGCAAATTTTAAAAACTTAGGCCAGGTGTGGTGGCGCATGCCTGTAATCCCTGCACTTGGGAGGCTGACACAGAGGACTGCTGTGAGTTCGAGGCCAGCCTGGGCTACAAAGTGAGTTCAGGGCCAGCCTGAACTGTATAGTGAGACCTTGTCTCAAAAAGACAAAAACAGAACAAAACAAAACAAAAAAACTTTATATATCATTTTATAAATCTTTCAGCATCTTACTCTTTTGTTTACCTTTGTATTTATAAGATTTATCCATGTTGTATAGCTCTAGATCATTTATTTTCACTACCATATAGAATTCTGTTGTAAAGATTATGATTATAAAAATACATTGTGTTTAAATTTTTTAAAAATTTTATTTTACAGCCAGGCATGGTGGCACATGCCTGTAATCCTAGCACTCTGGTGGCTGAGGCAGGAGGATTGCCTGAGTTTGAGGGCAGCTTGGGCTACACAGTGAGACCATATCTCAAAAAAAACCCTCAAAAATTACAGTAAAAAACACATTATCATTAATACCTCTCAGAATACTGTCCCTTACTTTGTTTTTTATTTGTTCGTTTGGTTTTTTATTTGTTTGCTTTTTGAGGCAGAGTCTGACTGTGTAGACCAGGCTGGTCTTGAACTCACTATGTAGCTCAGGCTAGCCTCAAATTCACAGAGATTCCCCTCTCTCATCCTCCCAATTGCTGGGATTACAGGAGTGAGCCACCACACCCAGCCCTTTATTTTGTTTTTTTGTTTTTCTTTTGTTTTAAGAGAAAAAAACCCCAAAAATTTCAAAACAAGATTAATAGGAGGGTAATAATAGTTAATACATTGCATTTTGTTATCTTCAAATTAGTTACTCAGAACAACTAATTGTCCAAACAATATTAACACAAACCCCTTTTTTCAATGAACTAAGAAATTAGTAGTATAACTGTCTTAACTATCTTATATATATTGCTTTTCTCTTCCTTCTTTCTTTTCTCTATTCCCCCATCCCTGCTTTTCTTTCCTTTTGAGGTTTCTTCCCATTTCACGATATCAGTTGTACATTTTGGATTTTATTTACTCTTTCAGCTTTTCACACTAGGGAGACAACACAATGTTTACACATGTGCATCTAGTTTATTTCACTTATGAGTATGGTCTCCAGTTGCATCCATTTACCTATAAAAGTCTCCTGTTTATCCTTATTTATGACTAAGTAGTACTCCATTGTGTAAAAAGACTACATCTTTTTGTCCATTCCTCAGTTGATGGGCATTTGGGCTGTTTCCAAGACCTAGCTATTACAAACTGTGCTGCTATAAACATGGGTGCACATATATCACCGTGGTACAGTGTTTTTAATTCTTCTGGGAAGATACCCCGAAGGGGAATGGCTGGGTCAAAAGAGACCTACAATCCTATTTTTTTGAGGAATCTCCACACTGATTTCCACAGTGATTGTACCAGTCTACACTCCCACTAACAGTGGAGAAAGGTTCTTTTTTCCCCCACAACTTTTTCAACATTTCTTATTGGTTGACTTCTTGATAATAGCCATTCTTTCCGGGGTGAGACGGAATCGCAGTGTTGTTTTAATTTATATCTCTTGAATGACCAGTAATGGTGAACATTTTTTCATAAATTTATTTGCTGTTTGTATTTCTTCATCTGAGAAGTGTGTGTTCATCTCAGATGCCCATTTTTAGATTGGGTCTTTAAATTTGGGAGGTCTGATTTCTTTTAGTTCTTTATATGTTCTTGATAGTAATCTTTTGTCTGAAGAACAGCTGGCAAGCACTTTTTTCCACATTGTGAGCTGTCTCTTTATTCTGTTAGTGGTTTCCCTTGCTGTGCAAAAGCTTTTTAATAAGATGAGATCTCAGTTGTTGATTCTTTGTAATAGATAGTTCCTGTGAAATCACAGTTTTATTCATAAAATATTTGCTATCTGATTAATAACCCTAGTTATTGCAGGCTGATCAGGCCTGCAATCTCCCAAACAAGTGGACAATGAAGGCTTAAATAAATGGGACAAATGAAATTATTTCAGGGCTCTAGGAGGGTCTAACTCTCTTATAATATTTAAGAGTCTCTGGGTTCAGACTCTCTGGGTTAAGACTCTCTGGGTTAAGACTGTCTCGGTTAAGACCCTGACTTCCCAAGGTGGCCTACATTTATTAGGTTTTCAGACAAAGGAGGGGGATACTGAAGAAAATGCAGGAATCTGGGCAAGACTTGGGAATCCCTTTAAGGACTTCTCCAAGTAACACTTTATGTTAACTTGGAGAACTATGTTAACTCCAGGAAGGGCTTCACTGCAGGAGTGGGATGCCTGCAGCCACAGTCTCCTTTTAGTTAACTGAGGTTGGAGCCAAAAGTCCTCAGCTGTGGCCTTGTCTTGTCCTTTGAGGCCTCATGGCCTCACCCACCATTACAGGCCTCAGTAGGGACCAGTGACTCACAAGTAAACATGGAAAGCCAATTGGTTAATATAAGTCCTGCTCAGAGCTGCTTCATAGTGGTCTCCATCAATTTGCCTACACTAATGCCTTCAAGAGTTTTACCTACTCTACCTCAAGCAGATTTAATGTTTCTGGTTTTGTTGTTGTTTTTTTTTGTTTTTTTGGTACCAAGAATCAAACTCACAACCTCATGCTTGCCGAGCTGGTGCTGTGCCGCTGAGCTATATCCCTGGCCCTAATGTTTCTGTTTTAATATTTAGATCTCTGATCCATTTTGAATTTAGTTTAGTGCCTGGTGAAAGATATGGGTCCAATTTTAATTTTTGGCATGTGCAGAGCCAGTTTTTCCAGAACCATTTATTAAAGAGGCTACCTTCCAGTGAATGTGTTTGGCACCTTTGTCAAAGACAAGGTGGCTGAATATGTCTGGAGTTGTTCCTGCATCTTCTAATCTGTTCCACTGATCTTCGGGTCAGTTTTTTTGCCAGTACCATACTGTTTTAATCACAGTAGCTTTATAGTATAATTTCAAATCTGGGATTGTTTTTTGTTTGTTTGTTTGTTTGGTTTTTTTTTGGTTTTTCTCCGGTACCAGGAACCGAACTCACAACCTTGCGCTTGCCATCAAGTCTGGGATTGTGATGCCCCCTGCCTTGCCTTTGTTGCCCAGACTTTCCTTTGCTATTATTAATAGGAGTTCTATTATTATTATCACACATTTCTATTATTATTATAATATCTGGTCCCAAATGAATTTTAGGATTGTTTTCTCTAATTCTGTGAGATATGCTGTTGGAATTTTGATCAGAATTGCATTAAATCTGTATAACAGTTTTAGAAGTATGGCCATTTTCACCATATTGGTTCTTCCTACCCAAGAGCAAGGGATATCTTTCCATTTTATGTGTGTGGTTTTTTTGTTTTGTTTTGTTTTGTTTGTTTTTCTTCCGGTACCGGGAATCGAACTCACGACCTTGTGCTTGCCAGGCAGGCGCTGTGCCACTGAGCTAAATCCCCAGCCCCTCTTTCCATTTTATGATCTCCTCTTCAATCTCCTTTTTCAGAGTACTGTAGTTTTCAATGTAGAGGTCTTTTACATCTTTCATTAGATTGATTCCTAGGTATTTCATTTGTTTGGATGCTATTATGAAAGGTATTGTTTCCCTAATTTCTCTTTCAGGGAGACTGTTATTCATGTACACAAAGACTATTGATTTTTGAGTGTTGACTTTGCGTCCAGCTATGCTACTGAATTTGCTTATTAAATCTAGCAGTTTTTTAGTAGAGTTTTTAGGGTCTTCTGTGTAGAGCATCATGTCATCCTCAAATAATGATAATTTCACTTCTTCCTCTCCTATCTTTATTCCTTTCATTTCTTTCTCTTTCCTAACTGCTCTGGCTAGAGTTTCAAGGACTATGTTGAATAAGTGGGAACAGTGGACATCCTTGTCTTGTTCCTGATTTTAGACAGAAAACTTTTAATTTTTGTCCATTTAATATGATGTTGGCTGTTGGTTTGTCATAGATGGCTTTTATGAGATTGAGATAAAGACCACTGATTCCAATTTTCTGTAGAGTTTTTATCATAAATGGATGCTGGACTTTGTCTAAAGCTTTTTCTGCATCTATTGACATGATCATATGACTTTTGTCCTTGGCTCTATTAATATGATGTATTACATTTATTGATTTACATATGTTGAACCATCTTTGCGTCCCTGGAATGAATCTCACCTGGTCATGGTGTATAATCTTCTTGATGATTTGCTGCATTCTGTTTACTAGTATCTTATTGAAGATTTTTGCATCTGTGTTCATTAGGGAAATTGTCCTGTAATCCTCTTTCTTAGTTGGGACCTTATCTGGTTTTGGTATTAGGGTAATGTTTGCTTCCAGGTATGAATTTGAGAATATTGCTTCCCTTCAATTTCATTAAAGAGTGTGGGAAGTAGTGGTATTAGGTCCTCTCTAAATTTCTTATAGAATTCAACAGCGAATCTGTCAGGGCCCGGGGTTTTTTTGTTGGTAGGTTTTTAATTACATCTTCAATTTCATTTTTTGTCATTGGTTTATTTAGGATTTTTTATATCTTCTTGATTCAGCTTTGGCAATTCATATGTATCTAGGAATCTGTCCATTTCTTCTGAATTTTCCATCTTATTAGAATACAAGTTTTCAAAGTAGGTATAGATGATCTTCTGGATTTCTGCTGGGTCCACTGTGATTTCACCCTTTTCATTCCTAATTGCATGGATTTGAGTCTTCCCTTTTTTTGATAAGGTTGGCTAAGGGTTTGTTGATTTTATTTAATCTTGCAAAGAACCAACTCTTCAATTCATTTTTTGTATTGTTTTCTTAGTCTCCATTGCATTTATTTCTGCTCTGATCTTTATAACTTCCTCCCTTATAAGAGCTTTTGGCTTAGTCTGCTTTTCTTTTTCTAGAAGTTTGAGGTTCACCTTTAAGTTGTTTATTTGTGCTTGCTCTGTGTTCCTGATATGGGTATTGACTGCTATAAATTTCCCTTTTAGTACTGCTTTCATTGTGTCCCATAAATTCTGGTATGTTGTATTGTTGTGATCATTTAATTGTAGAAATTGTTTAATTTCTTCTTTAATTTCATCTGTGACCCATTGGTTGTTCAGGAGGGTGCTATTTAATTTCTATGTATTTATGAAGTTCTTGTGGTTTCTTTTGCCAATGATTTACAATTTCATTGCACTATGGTCTGATAATATGCATGGGATAATTCCAACTCCTTTTCATTTACTTAAGCATGTTCTATGAGGTAATATGTAATCTCTTTTGGAGAATGTACTGTGTGCAGCTGAAGAGAATGTGTATTCTGATGTAGTGGGGTAAAACACTCTGTAGACATCTACTAAATCCATTTATTCAAAGGTTTGGTTTAGTTCTAATATTTCTTTGTTGAGTTTTTGTCTAGTTGATCTGTCTTTTTTGTGAGAATGCAACATTGAGATCCCCCAATACAACTGTATTAGTGCTTATTTGATTTTTTATACCCATTAACATTTGTTTTATACAGTTGGGTACACTGGTATTTGTTGTATAAGTATTTATGATCATTATATCTTCCCTTTGATCATTCCCTTTGCAAGGGTGTAGTGACTTTCTTTGTCTCTCTTAATCAGTCTTGGCTTGAAATTCACTTTGTCTGCAAAGAGAATAGCTACCCCTGCTTTTTTCGGAGTTCCTGTCACGTGGAGTATTGTTTTCCATCCTTTGCCTTTAGTCTATGAATTTCTTTTTGAATTAAATGTGTTTCTTGTATGCAGCATTTTGTTGGATCTTGCTTCTTGATCCATTCTAACAGTCTATGTCTTTTGATTGAATTGAGACCATTAACATTGATGGTTATAACTGCTATGTATTAACTTATCTTTGTCATGTTATTTTCCTGTTGTTCAGCCCCTTACTTTGAATACACTTATTCCATCATTCTTGCCATTTTCTAAAGCAGTTCTGGAAGTCTTTTTTTTTTTTTTCTTTTTTGTCTTTTTGTCTTTTTGGACAGGGTCTCACTATGCAGTGCAGGCTGGCCTTGAGCTCACTTTGTAGCCCAGGCTGGCCTCAAACTCGCAACGATCCTCCTGCCTCAGCCTCCTGAGTGCTGGGTTTACAGGTGAGTGCCGTCACACTGTCTGAAGTCTTTTTTTGTGAATGTCTTTAATTGTGCTTTTGTGGCTGGCTTGATGTCCTACACTGACTCAAAACATTTATGTTTCGTGGATATTTTGACTTCGAGTAAGAGCCAGATCCAGTGAATGAAGTGAATGGGGACACAGTCCTTACCATTGTTACAAGACTGCCTTCCCATTGAATCACACATGGCACTGTATTTTTTATCTCACCTCATAAAGACACAAAAGAGAATGTTCAAAACTATTTAAGAAAGTGTAAGAATGATGGAATAAGTGTGTTTGAAGTGAAGGGGGGTGTTTTGAGGGGAGTTAATAGCAATGTGTCTTTTACTGTAATAATTTTTTAAAAATTTAAATATTTGTCACATTTTTTTTACCACTCTTTGTATGAATAACATATAGCTACCCTGTTCTTCTATTTTGGGACAGTTAGACAGTTTTCAATTTTTCATTATTACATTGCCACACATCGATTCTTGTACATTTTTCTATGCATACATGTAGGAGTTTCTTAAAGGCATAAGCCTAAGGGGGAATATCTGGGTATTTTAACTTTAGTAGATATTTACAAATTGCTAAATAAAGTAGCTCAACTAATTTTTATTCCCATCAGTCCCCAAAAGAATTTTTATGACTCAAATACCTAATAGATCTGAGATAAAATACTTGCTTGGAGACGCATCAGAGGGGTTGAATGGTCCATAGATGGCATTCCAAGAACAGTGCACTAGAGAAAAGTCCACTCACTCCATGTTACTGACGTGTCTGGGCAAGGAACTGATGAACACTGTAGAGTTCATTCCAACCTAGACATGCCCGAGGACAGCACAAAGTCAGGAGCCACGCTTTCCCATATAGAATTGGGAACAGCAAGGAGGGGTGAAAGCGCTGTCTCTGGAGCATAGGGGAGTGGGAATCCTTGCCCGAGTCTTTGATTTGGGTACCATGTGCAATAGCCATCTCTGTTTTCTGGAACTAGTGGTTTCAACATCCTCCTCAGAACCCTGCAGTGTTATGTACCCCTTCCAGGACTGAAGGGGAAGGGTAGTACTCTGGCTCCTTTCCACCCTGACCTTCACTTCAACCAAGGTAATTTTGACTTTATCAGTTGTTCACATTAGAATTTGATATCAGTTCTATTGAGGAAAGGTTACCTCAGCTAAAAATTTTTGAAAATGCTGACCTGTGATTATCTTTTCCACAGGAGAGCAAGCGAGTCCTAAAAATATGTTCGCAATTCCTGAAGTGGAAGCTGCCCCAAGAAGTATATGACAAAGATCCCTTCTACATTAAACCTGGTGAAGTTAGAACAATCTGCAAATTCTTTGTATGTGAGAAGTAATGGCTCTTCTAAACTCCTCAACAGGCTCTAATGTATTTATTTTTTTCCAATGTGATTCTTAATTAAGGAACATGGGATACAGGAAACATTTTGCCTCCCCTTTTCATGCCAGCATTTGGTATCAGCAAACTATTTTTTTAACTATGGATCTATTTTACTGTAGTTTCTTCCCCCACTGAGTCATAAATTAACTTTTTATTACCACCTTTCATCATAAAAAAGGCTTGTAAACTCTTGGAAGCCCACTAACCTGGGTCAGAGGCTATAAGGCCAGGCTGATAGAATCTGGTCAAAAAATTCCTGGTGAGGTAAACTGAAATGGAGTTGTGCATTCCCTTTACAACTATCTCTAGTCCTTTCCTTGATATAGAAGATTACCTTCCTCTCCATCACAACATATTTAATGAGCTCCAAGCAAGGGCTACCATGCTGTGTGGCCATACACAGGGACAGCCTTGGGCCCAGGCAGCCTCAGGAGGTCCTGTCCCTGTTTTTTTAGAAACTGGCCATAGAATCACCTAGATCCTATTATGAAATCTCTGGAATGGACAATTCCCAGGAATCTTCCATATGTCTGACCTGTTTGGGACCCAGAGTGGTGGTATCTGACCAGATTTCCCAGCCTAGAAAGTCCCACAGTGCCCTTGTATCAGGCTTTCTGCCAAGGATTATCTCTCTGACCTGCAGCCAAACCTATAGCTGATATGCTAATGTATCAGCGATAGGAATCAGTAGCAAATTCAGTGTTCTCAATGAGTAAGACTACAAACTTCCATGTTAAACCATCAGTGCTATGAGAACAGATTCCTGTTCTCCCCATCCTGTGTAGGAGGTGTATGAACTTATAAGACATCCATTGAGAGGCGCATTCATTCACCCAATAACCATAAAATGTCCAGTGTACAACATGCATGAAGAACACAAAATTTTAAACTTCCTATTAGGCTCTTGCAAGCTAGTAAGGAAGATAAAGCCTCTGGAAAATTAAATAGACACTTAAAGTAGAAAATAAGATGTACCAAGAGAGAAATACCTTTAAAAAAACTCAGAAAAAAAAAAAAAAAACTCAGAGCAAGTTTTGGCCAGGGAGGTGAGTAGTCAGGGAAGAGCTCATAGATGTAGCTGAGAGCCAAGCATGATTGCGGCATGACTGTAATCACAGCACCCTGGGAGGCTGAGGCAGGAGGATCTCATATTTGAACCCAGCCTGGGCAATTTATCAAGATCCTATCTCAAAATAAAAAAAGGCTGGGGTTCGAGCTTAGTGCAAGGGCTTCAGGCTCAATTTCCAGAAGGTAGGATAGCTTTGCAGGCATTACAAATATGATACACAGCATGAGTAGGTATGGGCAAGGGATATTCAAAGGATTTATCTTGGTACAGGAGCCTATGGTTGTGGCATAATATTCATTGATAGTATTCAGTGTCATTATTTCAAGCACTACTATACTCAGTATCTGATACACTTCCTGACCTTGGAAACTATAGTTAGGGTGATTAGAACAGTGCTGTTACTTCACTGCTTTGTACTCTTTATTTTTTACCCACTTAGGTACAAAAATGCAAGGGTAAAATTGACATCCTTGCCCAAACATTGATGTACTTCAAGAATGCAAAACTTCCCATCAGAAGAACAGCAGTCTTATTTGTAGGTACAAAGAAAATCCTTTTATCTCTACACTTTTATCCTGTACTTGCCTAAATTCTGTTCTTGAGTAACCCTGTCCTTTATGAAGATGACCTTGAAAACACTTCTAGGAGAAATGTTATCTCTAGGTAACTATCATGCACTTAGAAGTCATTTTTGAAATCTGCCTAATTTTCAAAAGGCCAATTTTACCAGTTGTTTGGATTTTTTAAAGACTAAAAACAACTTGTAATTTCCAAAAGAAGCAAAATCACATACTCACTAACTTCATCCTGTATTTAGGGCTTTTATCAAAATACATGGATCACAGTGAGGCTGGAATGAAGAAGACTGATTGGATACAAGATGGTAAGTGACAGTATTTGCTGGATCTGAGGCAGTGACTATGGGCAGGTTCTGTAGCAAGTTGAAACTCTGTTAACCGGAAATCCAGATTTACGCAGCAATAAAACAATTGATGACTTCAGCGAAATGACAGTCTCGTCCCACTTCAGTGCCCTCCTTAGGAAAGGACATAACCTTATTTTTCTGAAATCAGCTTTAAAATGAATGTCAGCTGGGTATGGTGGCACACACGCATAATCCCAGCACTTGGGAGGCTGAGGCTGGAGGATTGCCATGAGTTTGAGGCCTGACCAGGCTACATTAGTGAGTTCAAGGCCAGCCTGTACTACATAGTGAAATGCTGTCTCAAAAATTAAAAAATAAAAAATTAAATTAAATTAAATTAAAATGAATGTCTCAGGAACAGTTCCTAAACTTTTCTGTCAGGAAATAAGACATTTATTTAACCCTGCTACATTTCCACCTCTTTTTTTATTTTTTATTTTGAGACAGGGTCTCCTTAAATCAGTGGATTGCTATGCAGGACTTGAACTCAGGATCCTCTTGCCTCAGTCTCCCAGGGTGCTGGGGTTATGCACCACCATAACTAGGAGTTAACTGTGATAATACTTCACAAGTACCACAGTGATGGCTGCAATCCACTATTGTCTTTAGCAAGTTCTCCTGTAAGGTTTAGGATTTGGTAATAAAGACGTTTTACAGTCATATAAGGCAATGATCATATAAATGGTTTTCGGAATTGCTAACAAGTAAAAGTTTTCTATAATTGTACAGTCCTGGAGATTTAGCATTGAAGAATTATTTATTCCCATTTAAGAAGTAGTTCTACAACTAGGAAAAGCCATAAAACTGGGTGTGGTGGTGTACTCCTGTAAACCCAGAATTCTGGGGAGGCTGAGGCAGGAGGATCTCATATACAAGCCCAGCCTGGGCAAGTTGGTTATTTAGCAAGACTCTATCTCAAAATAAGTAAATAAAAAGGATTGGAGTATAGCTCAGCGTGAAGGCACTGAATTCCATCCCCCATACTGAAAAAGAAAATGCTGTTATAACTAGTGAAACAGTGGGGGCTAATACTTATTAAGAAAGAAGATGCCTCTTTTTCCTAAGGTCTCCCATTTCTTCATGGATATTAGAAGCAAAAAGAAAGTAAAAAGCTATGGCATTTGTTCTATTGAAAGACTTTTACTTCTCCGTTAAAAGGAAATTATTTCTAATCTAAAACATTTGAAATAAAAGTTCCTTTTCCAGAGTTCACTGTCTGGAAGCTTTAGGGTATATATATAAAGCCATATGTATATGCAATAGGATATTGCATACAACAGGATAAATATCAGCAATCTCTTGTGGCTTAACCTAATGGAATAATCCCAAACTGTTTCTTCTTTGGTAGTGGCTAATCTATTTTAGAAATAGAGAATTTGTCTGGACATCGTGACTCATGCCTGTAGTCCTGCCACTCAGGAGGCTGAGGCAGAAAGTTCAGGAGTTCAAAACTAGCTTAGACAAATAACAATACCCCATGTCAAACAAACCAAAAGAAGGGAAGAAAAGAAGGAAGGAAGGAAGGAAATAAGGAAGGAAGGAAGGAAGGAAGGAAGGAAGGAAGGAAGGAAGGAAGGAAGGAAGGGAGGGAGGGAAGAAGGGAAGGAGAGAGGGAGGAGGGAGGGAGGAAGAAAGAAAGAGAAAGAAAAAATGGGATCTTCAAAAATTAACTTTATGACAAAGTAAGTTTCAGTTCCTTTGGAGTCAAAAATGGATGTCTGTAAACTGACACTGGAAATAATCAGTTTTGGAAGAGCTTTTCAGATTACTTCAGTGTTGTCAATATAGAAATCTGAGTGATTAATATTTTTAAAAAATTGATGTCTGCTTCTTCATATGTTCTTTGGAACATGTGGACAGATATCAATGCAAAAACTATAAGAACCTAAAAACTAGTGAGATAATTTCATTTTTAAAATAAACTTAATGCCTGCCTCGTAGGCGCCCAGAAGGAGGGGCCAAGGTGCACGGGGAGCCGCAGGCGGGGAACTCTGGTCGTCGGACCGGCTCGCTCCCTGCCTCATAGGCCCCCGGAGGGAGGACCTCTGGCGCACAGGGAGCCACGGGCAGGGAGCGCGAGTCTTCTGGCTGGCTCGCTTCCTGCCTTGTAGGCGCCTGGAAGGAGGGGCCCAGGCACACGGGGAGCCACGGGTGGGGAGTGCCGGTCTTCCAACTGGCTCGCTCCCTGCCTCGTAAGCCCCCAGAAGGAGGGCCCCTGGCACCAGGGGAGCCCCGAGGCGGCAAGCACTGTTGCACACCGGCCCTCAGGCCAGCCACCACTGCTCAATTGAGAACTACCACGACACAGATAAACAATGACACAATTGGCCCACCATACACCAGCTGCAGATGCCCACCCACGGACGTGTGTGAATCATTCAAACATGGAAAAACCCCTGGGAATACATGCCATACAATGGGCCACTCTTGCTACTGCCATTGAGAACCAGAAAGGTCCAGAGTCAGCGGAGGAGCAGCCGCTGAACAAGGACTCAGAGAACATGAGAATGCAGACTAAGCCCGAGAAGTCAGAGGTCCTGTGGACTGGGGTCATGAGAGTCGCTCGGAAGCTGCAAACCAGGAGGACCTTGCACAATACCTAAGGAGACTCTCTGGAAGCCATTCTTCCCCTGACAGTACAGGCTGTGGTAGAGCTCCGGAGAAGTCTACAGCAGGTTTCCTGCTGCCTGTGCTGATAGTTGAGAGAACACTAACTGGTTGTGGGGTCCCAATGCAATGGGAGGCTGGAGAGAAAACACTACAAAAAATGGCTTTGGCCCCAGACGGCTCACTTGATTTTTGACAACCTTTAGGCTGTAACTACTTGTTAGATCCTTCTTTTGTATCTCTGTCTTCCTGAGAAACCACTTCAAAGATGCCACCATGTATTATAGCAGCCATTGATATTTTCCTACTAATCTATCCATAACTCTGTAATGTTTGTATTTTTCCTAACCTATTTCATAAATGGATGCATGTCTATTATTATGTGTTTCCTACAATAACCATTGAGAATAGTTAATGATTATTCCATAGGTCACTCATGTATAGCTCTATTTATTTTCTTTAGAAGCCACTTTGAAGATACCAAAGTACAACAACTATTGATAATCTCCTACCCCTTTTGTCTGTAACTCACTATTATTTGTCTATTTGTTTTCCTGAGAAGCTATCTTGTAGATAACAATATGTAAAACAATAACCATTGATAATTTCCTACCACTTCGTCTGTAATTTGGTAAGCCCCCCCATTATTATGTTATCCTTCTTTTACTCTTTAAAAGAAAAAGAAAAAAAAATAAACTTAATGACTATAAAGCTAAAATGCTATTCAAGAAATAAGCTGGATATGGTGATACATCTGTAATCCCAGCACTGAAGAGCATGAGGCAGGAGGATTACCTCAAGTTCAAGGCCAGCCTGAATAACAGAGCAAGACCCTGTCCTCAAAAACAAAAAAAAAGAAAAAGAAAGAAATAAAAAGCTTTCCAAGCTGTGGTGGTACACACCTTAATCTCAGCTGCTTAGTGGGCTAGGGCAGGCAGATTGTAAATTTGAGGCTACTTTAGGCCAAACCTGTCCCAAAATAAAGCATTTTTGAGACCTTGGAAAATCAGGCAGAGAGAGAGAGAGAGAGAAAGCTTACCAGAGCACAGTGGTGCAGACCGTAGTCCCAGCACCAAGGGAGGCTGAGACAGGAAGATTGCAAGTTCAAATTCTGCCTGGATAATTTAGCAAGAGCCAATTTCAAAATAAAAACTGGACTGGAGATGTGGAGATGTAGTTCAGTGGTAGAGCATCCTAGTTTAATTTTCAACATGAACGAGAGAGACACAGAGACAGAGACAGAGACCGAACACTCTAAGTATGATATCAAAGACAGCTCCACAAAATAAGAAAGTGCTATATTTGCCTCCATAAAAAGTTATTAAATCAACTTTCAAAAGAAACAGACAAAACTGAAAAGCAAACAATAAAGGAAAGTATTTACAACGTGATTAAGGGTTAATATTTCCTAAAATAAACCAATAAATTCACAAAAGAAAAGTGAGAAACAATATGAATAAGCAGTTCATACAGGAATTACAAATGGCTAATAAATAGATGAAAAAAATTAGTCTTGGGGCTGGGGATTTAGCTCAGCGGCAAAAGCGCCTGCTTGGCAAGCGCAAGGTCGTGAGTTCGGTTCCCGGTACCGGAGAAAAACCAAAAAAAAAGAAAAAGAAAAAGAAAAAAATTAGTCTTACTAGAAATCAGAAGTTTGCAAAGTAAAACAATGGAATACCAGTATGTGCTTTTCTGTCAACAGTTAATCAACATTGACATGGTAAGGGAAAATTGGGGTAATCATATACATGCTTGTATAAATATAAATTGATACTTTTTTGCCATGTTGGGGATTAAGCCCAGGGCCTCACATATTTTAGGCAAGTCTGAGCTACATCTATAGCCCTTTTTGTTGTTTTGTTTTATTTTTGAGACAGAGCCTCACAGAGTTGCCCATTCCAGCCTCAAACGGGCTGTTCTGCCTCACCCTCCCAAGTAACTGGGATTATAGGTATGTGCCACCATGCCCCACTAAGATACAACTTTCTAATAGGGAAGTTTGGCAGTATGTATTAAAATAAGCTATACTTAAAAAAAAAAAATGGTGGACCCTGTAATCCCAGCACTGGGAGGCTGAAGCAGGAGGATCATCTCAAATTTAAGGCCAGCCTGAACTACATAATGAGACCCTGTCTCAAAACAAGTAGATAGAAAATAAGCTATATTATCTGGGTGGCTGAGGCAAAAGGATTGCAAGTATAAGCCTAGCCTGAGCAATTTAGTAAGACATTGTCTAAAAAGAGAGAGAGAGAGAGAAAGAAAGAGAGAGAGAGAAAGAAAAAAAGAAAGAAAGAAAGAAAAGAAAGAAAGAAAAGAAAGAAAGAAAGAAAGAAAGAAAGAAAGAAAGAAAGAAAGAAAGAAAGAAAGAAAGAAAGAAAATAAATGAGCGAGCTAGGGCTGTCCATATTACTGGCCAGAAAAAAGTCATACTTTTACTCATCAGTGCTCTTTCTAGAAATTTAACTTATGAAAATAAACAGAAAGTTTCAGGAATGTTCATTTCAGTGTTGCTTAGAATAGTGAACATGGGAACTATTCTAGGCTATAAACAGAAGGAATGAAATTATAATATACCCATTTTGTAGATCATATATAGCTATGAAAAATGGAAGACTTTAAAATGACTAAGAAAAAAATAAAATGATTTAGATAAATTAGGATATAATAAATTCAGATATATTATTAAGGGAGCGACCAATTATTGGGTCATATGATTCCATTTGAAAAATAAAAAATAAGAGCATGCACATATAAAATTTATAAAAAAAACCAAAGGTATAAAAAATACAGATAACCAAAATAACTAGGTGGTAGAATTATGGGTCTTTTTTTTTCCTGAGTATTGGGATTGAACCCAGGGCCTTTGCACTGAGCTACATCCCTAGTCAGCAGGTTGCCCAGGCTGGACTCAAACTTATGATCCTCCTGCCTCAGCCATCCACAGTGCTGGGATTATAGGAAGGTACAATCGTGCCTGGCTTATGGGTGATTTTTATTTTCTTCTAGTGCTTACATGTATTGTCTGACTTTTCTATGCAATGAATGTATATTTCTTGAAAACACAAAAACTTTACAAATATTAAAAGGAAATAATGATTTAAGAATTACATGTAGGACAAACATGAGAATTTAGAGGTTAACATTAAACGTGAGTTGACATACCCAGATGATTTGGCTTCTTTTTTTGAAGGGTCTTGTTATATAGTTTAGGCTGGCCTTGAATTTGCAGCAGACCTCCTGCCTTAGCCTCTTGAGTGCTGGGATTACAGGCAAGCACCACCACGCCCAGCCAGATAATTTGACTGTACCTAAACTATTTAGCATGTGATAATTGCAAAGGAGTAAAATATTTGCAACTCAGAAACTGGTAGGTTTTGTAGATCAAAACAGGAATTAACCTACTCATGAGCAATCTCTTAGAAATCTCAGAAAAACTTGATATTTTGCCCTTTTAGTGTCTAGAAAAGTGCTAATTTCCAGAAATCTCAGGGCCTTTCACCTTCAACTCACTTTTCTTACCACTTAGAATTGAAAGAGCTGCTGCATGACCCTGAGCCTTCCCTGCGCATCCTTGCCTACCAGGCTCTGTTCCGAGTCCAGAAGGTGGAGTCCCAGGCAGAACCCAAGCAGACAGTTTGCTGGTGGAGGAAGCTCCTGGGCTGTCACTCTACCTAGAAAAATAAGGCAGTCAACATCAGGTAAAAGCTAACCCTTTTGGAAGCCACAGAAGAAACAATGCACCCTCTTTCTTTTTACGGATGTAAGCAATGCCAGCACAAATCTACCTCCATCCATTTAACTACCCCCAACATGGTTTTTAAGTAATTAAGTATATAGAAGAGAGTGGCTCTTGGTTTAAATTTGCACATCTAATGAAAAATTTAATGAGGTTTTGAAGCACGGCAGAATATCCACAAAGTTTAAGTCTTGATAAACAGATAAGAACTACTTTATTTATTTATTTATTTCTGTTTTTTAAAAAAAAGATTTCAGGGCTGGGGATGTAGCTTAGTAGAAGAGTAGATGCTCAGCAGGCATGAGGCCCTGGATTCAATCCCTAGCATGCACGCATACACATACACAAAAAGATTCCAAGTAAATGTTAACATCACAGTGTTAGTATTGTTGCCTCTTCCACCAAGGCCACTTGTTTATCAAAAATCTTAAGAATAAAATAATAGCCCATTGTTAGAGTTTCCTCCTTAGTATATATTTTTGTTAAATCCCTTATGGTCTTTCTCCTTCCTTTCCCTTTCTCTTAAAAACCTTCAAACAATAAAAAATTTCTGAAGAGGAATAATGCTAAATCTATCCCAATATGTACAAGGTTTTCACTCCTTACTTCTTCATTTTTTCCAGTTGTCCTGAATTCCTCTCCTAAAAACTGCTGCCAGATTCTCAAGTGCTGTGGGGTTAAAGAAAAAAAAAACAACTACCACTCACTCACTACCCAGTGCCTACTTTAAGCCTAGGTGGGGAAATTTTTCTTTCAAACAGAAATTTTCCAGGGAAGAGATTAGCTTGTGTTGGATGAATACCTTGATAAACAGCATGTGGAAGTGTAGGAAATAAAGATGAGAAATGGTGGGCATTACTGGTCTAATTCCTAGCTTCTTGTTTGGTTGAGGAATTAAGCAGAGAGCCAGAGTTGAACTGTATGGGGCAAAAGAGAGGCCTTTTGGAGGTGATGTGGGAAAGAGAAAGGAAGTTAGACAAATGCACATGAAGAACAGACATATCCGATGGTGAATTGTATTAAGCGTTGTGGTACAGTGAGCGACATGAATCATTATTCACCCTGTTCTCTTTTCACCCTCAGCCTTCTGCCAAGATCATTTAAAGGAAAAAAATTTCTCCATGATTCATAATAAGTTGGATTTGTTTTGAGGGATATAAGTGTGCTAAGTATAGCTTCAAGGGGATCACTGCCCAAGAGAGGTGTTTCATATGTGGAACCAGCAGGTGTTTTGAGATAAAATGCAAGCCCCACTTGCCTGACAGATTAGATCTTCACCCCAAGCAAATCCAAGGATGATCACTAGATGCTAATCTTCAGTGTAAAGAGCCCATTTGAGCTACTGGCATCCCTCACCATATTCTCCTTGGTCTCATAACATGCAACTCTACATGCCCCTTTTGAACTGAACTATTTTCTAGATTATCCAATAAAAATGAGTAACATGCTGGGCGTGGTGGCACACGCCTATAATCCCAGAACTCCAGAGGCTGAGGCAGGAGGATCATTATGAGTTCAAAACCAGCCTGGGCTACAAAGTGAGCTCAAGGCCAACCTGAACTGCATAGTGAGACCTTGTTTCAAAAAAAAAAAAAAAAAAAAAAAAAAGAATAACATTATATTGAGTGCTCACATGAGCCTAACACTAAGCTAAGTATATTATGTAATTAACTCTTTTATCCTTATAACCACGTCATATATTATTATCTCCGTTTTGCTGAGGGAGAGCTACAGAACTGAATGTGAAAGTGACTCATCACGGCCTCACAACTAGTACTAGATGGCCAAACCAAGACTCAAGCCCAAGTGGTCTCCAAAGCCCACATCCCTGACTAATCTGCTCTGCTCTGCTCCAGTCTTCTCTTTCCCTTCAATGGGAATAACTGCAGCTTACTCTTCAGTTTTCTCAGTTGCTGCATTCATGCTCCTAACAAACTCATGTCATCAAATATTGCAAAGTGATGTTGAACTTCAAATAATTTATCAAATCCATAGTTGAACACAGCTCTAAAAGTCAGCATACTTTATTTCTTTTAATCAAATAAAATGTTTACCCTATACTGTATAGAATGGAGTTAGGGCAAATAGTGGTTAGTCGTCAACATATTTCTTTAAAATTGTATATTTAAATATAAATGGATGAATGAACTTCCTCTTTCAAATCCAAAAACATAAGAGGCTTGTGCTTTCAGAGGCTAGCATTTTAAAACCCCAGTGATATGAACAGTGTTCAGTGAATCCTTTCTCATTGTTCATATTTATGCTTCAGTCCCTTTCCCTCAGGCAAATTTTTATCTTCTGAGTAACGTCACCAATGGGGAGTAGCAAGTGAAGTAATGCTTATTTTACTTTAAAATTCACAGACAGAAGCATCCATTGAGAAACAGAGGACAGCTCTTTACTGAACTCCCTCAGCAAAGGCTAAGAAGTCCCTGACAGCGACTGCATTAACAAGTCCATTTAATCAAAATAACTCAATTTTTTTTGTACATACAGCTTTTCTTAAAAACAGGTTTATGTTTTCATGAATTTTTAAAACTACACAAAACAAAAATCTTGGGATATTTAATTTTATTATAATATATTGAAATAAAAGTTCAATATAACTGTCATTTTAGTTTTATTGCACTGTACTATACCTTATTAAAATATATTGTTCATTATTATGGACCCATTTGTGTCTTGATTAGCTTCTCCCTTTTTTACTTCAAGTTTTGCTTTTTTCTCTTATACCAACATACCTATTTTATGAGAAATTACTTTTTTCTTCCTATGGAAAAATTAAACTATTATATAAGTAAAAGATGGAATTGTGGGAGGGAAACATCCTCAGGCACCATCCCTGGCAAGTAAGACTGCACTAGGTACAATTGTAGAATAGTGCAAATATCCGCCTCTCCTTTCTTTTGATTTCTTGGCTCCATGCTCCTTGTACTATCTCCCTCTCTGAGGGAAAGATCTGATGAATTAATCATGTGTAAATGATCAATAATTCAAGGCTTAAAATGATGATACACCTCCAGGGATATTTATTTATTTATTTATTTATTTTAGTGTATACATAATGATAACATGGATCGTAGGGAATTTGTATCAGTACATGATATATCATGCTTCTTCTTTTTTTCCCATTCCCCTTCCCTCCCTTCAACCCCAATTCCCCTCCCTATTTACAAAAGCTTTGTTTCCATTTTCTTCATTTTTTTTTCCTGTCCCTTCCTTCTTTTCCTCCTCTTCCCTCTCTTGTTCCCCTTTTTATTTGAAATTTTTCTTCTAATTTTCCAAATCTATTATACATTTTGGTCCTGATTTACCCTTCTGGTTTCTCACACCAGAGAAACCATGTGATATTTGAACATGTGTGTCTGATTTATTTCACTTAAGATATGGTCTTAACCAATAACAAATGCTGGCAGAACTGTGGGGGAAAAGGAATCCTTCTGCACTGTTGGTGAGAGTGTAGAGTGTAGAGTGCAACCACTGTGGAAATCAATGCAAAGAGTCCTTTAAAAACTAAAACTAGAGGTTCCATTTGATCCAGCTATTTCCCTTCTTGGTATCTTCCCAAAAGAATTAAAAGCATCATACAACAATGATATATGTCCACCCATGTTTATAGAGGCAGTTTGTAATAGCAAAATCTTGGAAACAGTCCAAATGCATATCAACTGATGAATGGATAAAGAAGGTTTTTTTTTTTATACAATGGAGTACTACTCTGCCATAAATAAGGGTAAGCTGGAGACATTTCTAGGTAAATGGATGCACCTTGAAACCATACTCGTAAGTGAAATAAATCAGACACATGTGTTCAAATATCACATGGTTTCTCTGGTGTGAGAAACCGGAAGGGTAAATCAGAACCAAAATGTATAATAGATTTGGAAAATATTCAAATGAGAAGGGGAACAGGGAGGAGAAAGGGGGAAAAGAAGGAAGGGACAGGAAAAAAAGGAAGAAAGTGGAAACAAAGCTTTTGTAAATAGGGGAAGTGGAGTTGAAGGGAGGGGAGGGGAATGGGAAGAAAAGAAGCAAGACATATCATGTACTGATACAAATTCCCTATAATCAATGTTATCATTATGTATATCTAAAATGTACCAATAAAATTAATTTGAAAAAAATAAAGAGGGTACAAAATCACTGATGTATGCTTATGGATAGGAAAGGACTTCCTTCTGTGCAGTGATGCAATTTAATTAATGACTACCTCTTTTTCCTTTGAGGAACAAAACAGTAAGAATGGTGAGGTAAGGTCTTGCTCCTCCCTGACAACTATCAAATGCTTTTTCTTTTCCTCAGAAGTTTAGATGAGTAGTTTTTCTAAGAGTGGCATGTACAAACAAGTGCCTGTTTAGGGAGTAGTGAACTGGAGGACAACAAAAAAAATTTTTTTTCCCAAGAATTTCAAAACAAAATAGGCATTTTGAGAAACATAATTAGCACCTTATTGCAGTTTCTTACACTTATTTTGTGGTTTAGAATAGCTCATATTTTGAATTATATTTAGGAGGGTGGCCACTGTAATCTTTTTAGTATTGGAGCCTCTACAGGTCTTGGGCGCTGAGCACATGCTGTGATGGAATTCTGAAATATTAAAGCACAACAAGGAGTCTAATCATTGAGGCTGCCAAAAATGGAATCAAAATGCCTGGATCAAGAATAGAGAGCAGAGTAAATCTGTTTCATTACCCATACTTAATTTTCTATTCAAAACATCTGAGTTTTGTATTGATTGAATGAACATGCCCGGGGAATAAAAAATAGAACCAATATGAAGGAGAGAATATTGATTTTAAATATACACACAGGTGCCCACACAGACATATGGGAGGTTGGGTCTGACAGATATGTTGTCAATGCTAAGCCACCTAAATTTGATTCAACTGCTAATACTATTCCCCTGAAAAATTTTAACTGTGACATGATATAAATGGGGCTTAAGAAAAACTAAACTAATAACTAAATATAAGAGAGATTGGAAAATACAAAAAGAGGAGTCTACAGAGTAAGTGTAAGTGTAGGGGATAAAGAAGCAGGCAGTCAGTGATTGTGGTGGATTGCCAACTGGTGGTCAACTTGTAACACCCAGCTGAACTGAATGAACCAGCATGGTGTGGGAGGGCCCATCTGAGGATTGATTGTTGCTGGCAGCATAAGAGGCAAAACTGGACAGGAAGAAGTTTAGAAGCTGTTATGGCATTGCTGGTTTTCCTGGAGGAGTTTGTCATGCTGGCTTTCGTGATGAACTCTGCTGCTCTCATCATCAAAGGAGCTTGGGACCTTGTCGCTGAGAAGGTTACAGTTCACTTTGGGGGAGCTCTGGTCCTCACTTTGAGCAATGCTTCCTGACTCTGGAGGGGAAGATGGTGCACTGCTCAGTCTCCTAGAGAAGCTTGTTGCATTTGCTTTCCTGATGGGAACTCAACTATTCTCATCATCGGAGGAGCTGGGGACCTCACTGTCACTGAGGATGGCTGTGGTACTTTTCAGGGGGCTCTGGTTCTTACTTTGAGCATTGCTTCCTGACTCCAGTGCAGATTCCTCAAACTAACACAGATACTTCATCCCGCTAGCACACTTTCTAGCTTTCACCACTGACCTTTGGGCCTTCCCAGCACAGATTTGTGGAACTGGCCTGCGTGAGACATTGTCATGGACTCCTGACCTCCAGTTGGACTCATGGGCATCACTGTTATGGGCTCTAGGTCTTCAGCTGGACTCAAGCAGGACATTTCTGTGGGATCCAGGCCCCCAGCTGGATTCTTTAGTCTTTAGTGTGTGGACAGATTTCCTGCACTCTTTTTGTATATGACTCTTTGGGTGCCTATTATAAAATCTATAAATTATGTGTCCTGTTTTGTTCCCCTCGCAAAACCCAAAGCTACAACAATGATTAGAAAAGGACAAGACCTATTTTTTTGTTTGTTTTTCTGTTTGGGTTTTTCTTGTTTTGTTTTGTTTTTTGCAAAAGTGGCAGTACTGTTTACTGAAAACTAATGACCAACCAGTTACTACAGTTTAAATGGAAGGAGCCTTATTTCACAAAGGAAATAGAGAACTCAAGAATTTTTTCCTTTTATTTTTGCCTCATTATCGAGAGCCTGTGGTACTTACAGAAATTTTGGATAGTCTAATAATTGTAACGTGACAAAACAAAAAGCTATAAAAGCAGGTGTTTGACTGGAGGTAGAGAGTGATTGGGCAGGAGAACCAAAAGACAAGAAAGGAAAATGGAAGGCTTTACATAGACAGGATATGACTTATTAAAAATCCAAAGTTAGAGCCCAGATCCAATCCCAAGGGGAAGAAGAAACATGTTTCTTCATTTTTATTTGCTTAGTGGCTGACCTTTGAGAGCAGCTTGTTTTGTTCTTAGATCATCTCAAGCCAGCAATGCCACTCAGTTCAAGTGTGAATGATGTGAAAGACTTAATCAGGAACACAAGCTGGGCCTGATGGTGCACACCTGTAATTCCAGCCAGGAGGATCACTGAGTTTGAGGCCAGCCTGAGCTACATAGTCATACCCTATCTAGAAAAGAAAAAAAAGAAAAGAAAAAGATCTTGCACATCGCAGGCATTCACTAAACATTTGTAGCATAAATAATTTAAAAAGTGGTGAATGCATGAAGTGGAACAAAGAATCAGGAGAATCAAAACTAGCACAAAGAAGATACAGGCTATACATATAGAGTGCAACCCACTGAAAACCGAACTATTAAATTGCTAAGAAATGGGACAATGAGATCCTGGTTTTCTTTATTGGGTTTGTTATTACCAAGAGCTATTTCATTAATTTTGGTTTATTTTCGAGATATTCCCCTCAAAACTTCAGATCTGGTCAAAAGAGACTGGTTAGCTATGAGGAAGGAAAGTACTTGAGGCTTCTCAGCTCATGAAAGCTAGGATCCCATGGTATAGCCAGGATCCCATGGTATAGCCTTATTTCTCAAACTCTCACCATGTTTCCATTCGACACAGTCAGTGATACTTCTCAGCAGTTGTTCCAAATCTTTACTACTCAAACTCCCTACTTTGTTGCTATTCTCCATTCAGTAGAGCACCTTGCAATTCCTGTTTAATCTAGACATGCCTGCTAGACAGAACAATGAAGATAAAGAGACGGGCTCTTGAGTCCCAGTTTAGCAACATTCTCCATTGCCTGGCTATATCAGTGGTCTCTTTCATCTTCATCTTCAGTCTGTGTCTAACCCTGCCTGATTATTCGCATCTTTGACTTTTCCCCGTCCTAAAAAATACCTCATCCTTTGCAATTCCCGCATCAAATTTCTTAGAAGTTTTTGCTTGCTATTTCAGCTTTCTGACATTCCTCCCATTGGCCCCTCAACCACAGTAAAGTTTTCTCCCACTATGCTACAGAACACTGCTTTGACAAAGGTCATCAAAACATAGGAATGATAGTTCATGAGATTATCTGTGAATTCTGATTTGAATTCACTGCTCCTCTGGACTCTGTGGAACACCTCTTTCCTTGTCTCTGAGGTACTACTTAGTTTTGTACTTCCCTGGCCACTCATTTTTTCATTCACCTCTCA